GACGACGATTACGAAGAAGATGACCAACTTCTAGAACAATTCGTTAGCGCCGCTACACCACAAGCGGTACGTCGCCTCTCAAATTCCATATCTGAGGCCAATGCTGCTGAAGATGCAGCCACATCGGCTGACGCTGATCAAGGCAGAGGCAACAATTGCAAATGTTCAAATCGTGCTGAGGATCAGGTGAACTTCCTCGAGAATTTGGAACGTGAGGAGCAGAGTTTGATGCAGTCGACGCGCATAGATATGTCGCGCGACAGCATCACCAGTCATGTGGGTAATTCCGATTATAATTTTCTTGTCAGCTTCTTGCCACAAATGAAGCGTATGAGCGAGCTGCAAAATTTGCAATTTCGTGCCAAGATGAGCGAGCTGTTACTGAACACAATGACGCCGCAGCCGACTGCTGCACCCATGCAGCTAATAGCTAATGCAGCACAATTTCAACAACAACTACAGCAACAGCAACAGCCGCAGCTGCAACTACAGCAAAAACCACAGTTGCAACTACAGCAACAACCACTGTTGCAACTACAACAACAACCACAGTTGCAACTACAGCAACAACCACAGTTGCAACTACAACAGCAACCACAGTTGCAGCTACCGCACCAACCACAGTTGCAGCTACAGCAACCACCACAGTTGCAACTACAACAGCAACCACAGCTGCAGCTACAGCTACAGCAGCAACAAGAGCAAACTCAACGTGGTGTTATCCAATGTGCGCCCGTACCACTACAACTGGAATTGAAACAAGACGAGCAACAATTGCAAGCAACACAACAATTGCAAGCAACACAACAACAACAGCAACCGCAGCAGCAGCAGCAGCAAACGCCACAGCGTCAACAACAGTTTAGCACCACTGATCTAATGGATGCAGATCCGTTGGATAATAGGAGCGTAAGCGTTACTAGCGAAATGTGTGACGACAACTCAGTCAATTGGCCATGAAAGACGCGCGTTACACTGCTTTCCAAAGTGTTCATTTTATTTTTCACGATTTTTACTATATTTATTTATGTATGTACCTAATTTTACTTGGCAGCCAGTCTTTCGCACAACTGAAAACACACAATCTCAAACTTTTCATGCACTAAGTATTAAAAGATTTTAACATTTTATATTCATTAATAAAATAAATTTTGTATTGATAAAAGTTTATTATTATTAAAAATTTAGTATCCACATCGTAATATTTAGGATAGTTTAGGGGGATTAATAATAACTAGGAGCGCCAGTTGTTGTCGAAATTCGACCGTTTTTCTATTTTTTTAAGGCCCTTGGAGAGGTTTTCTAACTTAGCACGTCGTTTAGAATTACTTACTGGTATTTTCCTGCTTTGGAACTTACATAGCCGTGCCTACTACAATTTTTAAGATTTTTGAAGGCATTTGGCTGGACTTTGAATTAAGGGGTGAACTCATTCCAGTTTGTCATAAAATTTCGATTATTTTATACATATCGATAATTCGATGAATTTAGAAAACTTTAAAATCCGATACCTCGACAAAATTCTATAGCTCGACTAATTTCGATGATTTGGAAAAATTTCGATAACCGATAACGAAAAAATCGATAACTCGTTAAAAATAAGGACACCTCTATAAGTTTCGATAACTCGGTTAGTTTTGAAAGCTCCATATTTTTCGAAAGCTATTGACAAACTTTGATAACTTGTTACACTCTGGTGATACTATAAAATTCGATAAGCAGTGATAACTCGATAAACTTATATAACCTTGAAATTTCGATAGCATGATATATTTTGAAAATTCCAAAAACTTCGATTCCATAAATCCAATAATTTCAGTTAATCAATAAGTATCGATAACTCGATAACCATAGCTAAAAATGCCAGTCATTTATCACTTCACTATGTTCAGGGAGGAGAAATTTGAGAATTGCATAAAATTGCATATCCAATTAAGAACGAGTGAATCACTTTTAAACACAAGTGCGTGTGTTTGTTTACTGCTCTTTTTGTATGCGGTAAATGTATAAGTCACTTAAACAGGCCGATTTGGTACCTATACATTTAATGTCGGGATGGGTGCGATCGGGATTAAGTATTTAGTCATTTAGTCCCGTGTCCATCTCTACTACGTACATATGTATGTATGAATGAATCTTCCGAATATTTAAAGATGATTTCCAAAAGGAATTGACAAAAAATCAACCCTACTAAAACTAGCATGGTGGTCCCCTTTAACCGAATAAGTATTTGTGACTAGTGACAGTGACCATTGGTGACAGAAAAAAATAAACATTTTAAACAAAAACAACAAAGCAAACACAACAACGGAACACAAGTACACATAAACAGACGTGGTAGATCCCTCAGCTGTGCCCTGACGAATTGGAATTGACACTGAACCAAGCGCTGCATGGCACCCAAACTAATACACTTGCATACGTATGTATGTATGTATGTATATGGTGAACTTGTGGGTTGACTTTGTGAATAACACATATAAAATTCAAGCCCAGTGACAACAAATTCTTGAGTTGTACTGTTCGGAGTTTAAGGTGTGTTCTTGAGCTTGACTGTGAGACAACGCAGAAGTAAAAAACAACAACAAAAAATTAAAAACCGAATAAAAAATGAAAATGTGTACAAAATCGAAAGCTACAAAAGCAGCAACATTGTGGATAATAACAAAAAACCGAACTGATCATTTTGGGGACAACAAAAGCATTCCTACACATATGTACATATGTACGTATGTGTATGCAATGTGGGCATGTAGCCCCTGCAACCCAAGCTGCTTGACATGAGTAACATGTACAACACGCCTGCTGTTGGTGACATGTACATGTATAAGTAAGACGGAAACAAGTGATTCTTTTTTAAATCAACTAATTGAAAGACTAC